TGCTCCGATCTGTTGACTGGAACCAAATTATCAGAAGTTCTTCGATAATGAAAATTCAGTGGAAGTTAAATCTACCAACCGCAGCATGGTGGGGCGGCTGGTGAGAGAGACTGGTTCAGATGATCCAAGAAATTATTGAGAAGAGTCCTGGGAAAAGCATTACTTTCATATGAAGAAATGTCATATGAACTATCCTATGTGATGCAGAAGCAAATATCAACTCCAGACCATTAACATACGAGTCAGAAGATTCCATTGATTTATGTGCACTCACTCCATCTATGTTTATTCAGGATGTGCGAATTGAAGGTGTTCTGGATCTGGACAATTTGGATAAAATCAACTTATCAAAAAGATGGCGATACCACCAAAAGTTACGTGTGGAATTTAGTAAAAGATTTAGAGATGAATATCTTGGTATGTTAGTACATCGACCAAAGACTGTACCTTCGCGAACCATCAAGAAGGTGATTTAGTGTTTGTAGAGGACAATAAAAGGAAAAGAACAGACTGGCCTATAGGGTCGTGTGATCGAAACATACCCAGGGAATAAGACAACAACATCAGAGTGGTGAAAGTAAAAACATCTAGTGGTGAACTGTTAAGACCAGTTCAAAGAGTACTTGCAATGGAGATAGACAATAAAAAATCTATCTTCGAGCTTAAAACTACTGAATCATCCAAATCTTCGAGAAATACTGGTAAAATGAATGATTTAGTAATTGATAACAAAAACTGTGAACTTGAAAATTCTGATAAAAACATTCAGTTTAGTAGATATGGCAGAAAAATTATGAAACTAAAGAACTTTAATTAGTTTAAATTTGTTTCAGTACCATTATTACTTGTTTTCTTTATTTCTTTCTTTGAATTTAAATTTTATATACAATTTGATTTTCCAGTTTAGTGAATTAATCTCTTTACTAGTATTTTTCAGAAAAGAATTTTTTGTCTGTTCTTTAAAGAATGTAAGTTTGCAGAATATTAAGTAAGTTAAAAATATTCAAGATATTTGTTACCCCTAGATAAAATTGTTGATTTTGGTAAGATTTAAATTATCTTATATTCGTATTTCAATTTTTTCATTTCACAATTGTTTTGATTTTTTATACTTTGTCAAAAATCAAAAGGTGGGAGAAATGTTACAACTCGAACGCGAAATGAGCGAAAGTTTCTTTTCTGCAAGTGGCAACGAGGAGTCGAAAAACGAACTTGGAAGAGAGCGGTCGCTCACTCGGTTTTCTTTTGATACGAAGGGGAGATAATCCCCATCTTTTGATTTGAAATTAATCTCGAATTATGTTTATATTGTAATATAAAAGATGTGTGTAAAAGTCGTTAAGACTTAATTGAAGTAGTGATTTGAATCGAATATAGAAATCGAAAGCTCTCCCAAATAGAACTATGGAATATAGAAATGACAAATGGTATTTTGCTTCTTTCTCTCAGTCGATGATAAATTAATTATGGTTAATATTTCAAAAAACAACAAGAAAACGAGTAATGAAGGGTTTAAAAGAATGGGCTGTAGAGAAACTATTACCTTTGACATCGTGGTTAAACGGCTTGTTAAATACAGACAATATTTTAGACAGAAAAAAATAATGAATGAACAGCACCACTCGGTCTAAAATGAGTATAAAAATCCTACGTTACCTATATAAAAAAAACTCTTTTGCAATTGATTACCAGTTTACAACTTTTTCGTTATTTTAATTTACCACCACACTACAAATCTAAAACCATTTCAGATTCATAAGTAAATTCTTTATTCCAATAACCCTCTTTAAAACATTTTTTTAAATTTTTCAAAATATGGTTCCTTTTAAATTTTACACAAAAGATGTGAAATGACAGAAAACCATTTCAATGGAGCCATGCCCAGTAGCACATGCATTCTGAAAGCATTTAAAGATCTAAATATTATTAACTCAATGCTTCAGGAAAACGATATTCTGCACACAAAAAAGAATTTATCAGCCTGCAAATCTTGAAGATATTAAAAATACAGACACAGGAAAGATGTGTTCTTTCCTATGTCTGCATTTTTCATAGTGATAATTAAGCAACTCTTCCCCTAAATTCATTTGCTAAACTGATAGTTTAATTTGAAAGGAGTGGGAAATGCAGTTAAATGTTTAAAGACATTATTTTTAAAAATAGCAAATGTTATTCTTGCACAACTACGTTATTTATTTACAAATTCATAAACTTGATTTAAACCTTTCAACCTGACTTCTGCATGATTAAAATTTAACCATGAAAAATAGTTTAATGTTGGCATACTAAAAGACGTGTACGAGTTTACAGTTTTTAACTTTTCCAGTTTCCTAGAAATCTTCTGGGACAATATGTCCCAATCATATTGTCAACTGGAAATATTTGTCCCACTCGTCTAGGGTATTACGTCTTCAGAAAACAAAACTAAAATTTATGATAATACATAAAGTGATTATTACAAAATGTAAACTCTGTCACATGCACTAGTTCATATATAACAAAAATTATTATGTTTCATAAACACAAACATAATACAGTAGAAAGTCCGAAATTTGGGCTCATCGCGACTTTGGCGATTCCAGATTTGGGATTTTTCCGGATATTAGATCATCAGTTTAAATCTTGTAAGACGGCATGTTCAAATTATAAAATTAGAAATATGAAATCATGATTTATGAAGTATTTATGATCTACAGGGTATCAAAATTTACAAAAAAAGCTTCATATCTATTTTTTTACCTTATTAAACATTTCTTTCAATGCAAGTTGTTTAAGTTGCTTCATTTTTTGTGCTAATACTTTCTCTTTAATTCTGCAGACAGACATAATCTCTTATTCAGTTACATTGTTGAAGTCCTGTAACTGCTGTTTTGAGAATTCCGACGAAACTTGTCAATCAAAATTTTCTCGTTTCTAGTAACTTCTCTGTCACTCATTATCAGTAGCGATATTTTCTAGATCTAGAACCATACTACAGATTTCACCATTCATTATTGAGAAGCATTGTCATCACAACGAAAAACTTATATCATCATCATTTATTACCACTTCTCCACATTTCTTTGCAAAAATCTGTTAATTGGAAAATTTCACCTTTGTTTTGCGATATCCGAACACCTTTAAAATTAGTGGCTATCATCATCAAATTTAGCTTTCCTTCACTATACATATTTGGCTATGCATTATGAACTTGGTGACTAACGACAAGTTGTTTTGTTAAATTTTATCTTGCTTCTATAGCGAACTGAGACAATTAAGCCTGAATTGCATTAGTTATTTATTATATTTATGTGTATTTCTTGCACATGCTTAAGGCTTATCAGAGTTCTGAAAAAATAAATTCCCACATATACTTAAGCCTTATTGAAAACCGGTGCTAGATATCTTATAACCTGATGCAGTCTCTGGGTTGTAAATTGTGCGACTCTGTCAACATAAAAGATTACCATACTCCTTTATTATTAAAGTACTAACAAAAAAATTGCTTAGGACTCACTACAGGAGTCATAACTCATAACTCAAGTTGTCATAGTTTCATAAACATGCGATGATAAAAGGAAAGTATAATAAATAATGATTCGCCAAGTTGGCGTCAGATCAATGCTGTATCTATGTAGAATGTTTCAGTTTGAGATGTGTGCCAAAGCAGATACGCAGCAACGGAGCCAAATTACTGATCATACAAACTTATGCCAAAATCATCGTTTTTTTAATAACAAGGTATTTTATTTAGTGTCGAAGAGAAATTAAGAATCGGGACTCTCCAGAAGTTTTATTATGCACGAAGGGGAGAATCAAATGCACTTGCGTAAAGCCTACAAGAAAAACTGTGGTTTTGAGGTCCAGATTTTAGACTATTCTGGATAATGGACGTCCGAATTTCGGACTTTGTAGTGTATATCAGCATGTAGTAATTTGATCACTCATGGGACATAGTAAATACCATATGAACAATATATCCCACAAAAGAATTTATTAAAATTTCTTAAATTTGACATTAAAATGTTAAATTACTACTTAATAAGAATTATTTCATATTAAATGTGCCTTAAATATAATTGTACTTATTGTAAAATTTGAAAATAGACAAATCGAAGCTTGAGTAATTGGCATGCACCATCTGGAATCTAAATTGTTGACCAAGTTTAGTCATATATTTGTTCGCAAATTCCTTAAAAACACTGCAAATGTAAAAAAAATAAATAAATGAAAAATAAAAAAATAAGTGGGTTTTATTTTCCTAATAGGGCATGAAATCTAATCTTTGGACATGTATGCACATTATGACCGAAAGGGTTAAGCCTCCCCCCCAAAAAAAACTGTACATGGGAAACACGCTAATGTGACAATCAAAATTGGATTTTCTTGAGGCTTTTCATATTTACAAAGATTTAGCATGTTTAGTTAATGATTTTAAGTCCAATCCAGTCCTTCCTAATGCTTTTAAAAATTTTACTATCTTAATTCAGTTACTATTTTTGCCGATATATGACGTTACCTCCTCACGTTTGGTACTACCAGAGGGTATAAAAATCCGTTCAGTGGTTGCTTTCCATTATTTGAAGTTCAGATTTTGAGCGTGAAGGTGCAGTTGCCCCTCGCTCCCTATTTTTAACTTCGCTAATTCTTTGTCCTTTGTGTTATATGTTTGATCAGATAGCCTGGCTCAGTAAAAGTAGGCGGTCAGTGTAACTCTGATTAAAAGTCCAGTTATAACCACGTGCAGTGCTGATAAGTACCACGTGTTTCTGAGACTCCTTTCCCTTTAGTTTTCTTCTTTCTAGGTATTTCTTTCTCCTGATGAGGAGGGACCTTTAGCAGCCCTCGAAATTGATTGAGTGTTTCAATATACTCACGCTTAAATACAAGGTTGTTTTTACAATTTTGTAAATTGTACATGTTTGACTACCACATCTGAGCCAGACATTTTCATTATATTTTAAATAAAAGTTACGAGTAAAATATTAAATATTAATTTAAAAACATATCTTAATACTTACAGTTGGTACACTACGTCTATATGGAAGAGATGACTGGGAAATACCTTTGCTGAAAGTAAGTTAGTTCAATTAATAAAGCGAGCAGTTTTTAATATATCCAATTACAAATAAAAGCTTGACTATTCAAAATTCAAGTCATTATAATATTTTAGATTTTTAATATGAGAAAAATTATGAAAATGAGACGAAGAAATTCTAAAGTATGAGACTACTATTTGGAATCAACATCTAGAACATGAACACAGTTATACAGCTCTTTCAAAAGATATTGTGGAACTCTTCTGTTATCAGGACCAGATTCAGAAATGTATGTATGCATGCATGCATGTGTGTACACAATTGTGGACAAAATTAAGAGATGGAAAACATTTTCTCACATTTCTTTTAAAATACCAGACAAAACCTGGGTTGCATATAATACCACAGTGATATTATATTATTCCTGTGGTCTTCACTACGCCAGCAGGAGGTATAGAAGTCCACTCCCAGCTGCTCAGCTCATTCTGCACTGCAACACAGTAATAATTTTTATTGCTTTCTTAAATAATGGCAACTGCACACCATACTAGCCACATTTTCATTGCCATCTCTCAAGCTTACTCTTGGCCATAACTCACGCCAATGAAAGGCATTCTCATTGTTGTTGGTTTGTACACATTGTCATATAATAAATTATTACCATACTTAATTTCATTGATATCTATCTAGTTTTTCTCGAAATATTTGTGGAAAAGTGGGTTTAAGTATCCGGTGCACACAGGATTTGGCTACTTTATGATGAGCAGTAAAAACGGGACACATACGATGAGTAGTAAACAGGTCATTCAAAGAATATATATAGTGTATATACAATGTATATACACTATAGTGTATAGTATATACTATGTATATATTGTATAGTATGAACTTAAATCCATTTAGTGCGAATACAAGTTATTATTACTTGCGCAATTGCTGAAAAGTTAGTTAATAATAATTTATTTCCTAAACAGTATTGATTAATTGATTATATTATCTCCTAAGTTTAATTAAAGTAGAATTATTTTAAAAGTGTGCATCCATATTGGTAAGTTAATTTGAAAGCAAAATGTTAATAATGTTTTAACGGGGACTGGAGTTAAATCATCACGAAGAATAATATTACAATAGTAAAAATTAAAATAGTAAAAATTAAAACATGTAATTATTGTCATTGATCGGAAATTAGCTGACTTTTCAAGGGGAACAAACCAACTCCCGTTCAATGATCAATAATTGATAAAAATACGTAAATATGAAAGTGTTTCGTCTTTACTCGAGTTATAAGTTAAAGCCAAATCGGCAATTCTAGTCAGGCCAAATATTTCTGCGAATAGTTGTTACTCAAAGAACTTATTCTCATGTAGCATTTTAGTCAATTCAATTTGGAGTAAAAATTAATTACTGTAGAGAAATCCTGTAAAACTCGAGTAATCGTCCCGACACTATCATCTTTATGTATTTGAGAACTATATTATTTGTAGAAATTAAACATTGGAAATTGTCATTATGCAATCGAAATCAAAGTAAGGTTGAAATAAACATAGAAGATTATAAAAAAATAGACGTTCTTTGGATCATGTTTGGTGTTGGCGATAATTTTTAAAATCGCGCTAAGGCTGCACCGTATACTAGGATTTTACCGAAAAGTGTTCAATCTCTTTATTTTGTCCAAGAGATGTGTGTGACTTGATTTGTAACCAGTTTATTTTAAACGCAGACACCTTATTGGGATTATTTTATTAATTTTAAGCATACTGTTTATTTCAAAAGTAGAAATCGGCTTTCTAAAACACGATCAATATTTTGCAGTTTAAATAATTTATCAGCTTTAATGTTATGTTAAAGATTCCAATTTAATATTACAAAGGGTAGAATAATCAGAAAACCTGCCTTATGTTACCAGGCCAAAAATACTTTCTCTCGCATATTTTTTATAAAACATAACTGAATATCACGCTATTATTCAATTACAGATTTACAAGACAATATTTCCTACAAGAAAATTTCATTACAATTAATAGCAAACCCATCTAATATACAAGTTACCACGCACTTTACTAAAAAAAGGATACCTTTGGCTTAAAAACTGAAAGATAAAGCAATAACTATAATACAAAGTTTTTATTTGTTTTCATGCAAAAAAAAAAATTGTAGCATGTGTATGCAGAAGTTCCATTCCTCAACGTGGTGCTTTATGTTTAAGCCTAATTCCTATCGGATTAACACACACAACAATCTTCACAGTTCACACAAAAACAGGAGAATTTAGAAAATAAAAGCAGTTCCAGTTAAAATTACGTAAATTAATCAAAATACAAATAGTTACCCAGGTGCATGCATACGACCCATGATTTTAAATCTTTTGACGCCGACAAGTCGGACTCAGCACCAGAAAACTAATGGCGTTTACACGAAAATTCCAATTTGAGGTGTTGCCACTCATAAAACAACCAGACAATGTAGACAGATGTCTTGTTTTGCACCCAATAAGTCTTTCTGCATCGATGGGCGAAAAATGAAAGAAAGGATAGTTTCGTGTTTCAGAGGAAGGTAAAAAGGAACTTCGTACATTTTATACGAATTCAAAAGGCCAGGAAGAAAAACAGGACAAAATAAAATTAAAATAATAGCCCAAAAGTAGAAAGAGAGAGGAAAAAAATGGGACTGTTGAAGAAAAAGGAAAGGAAGTAGAAAATTATCCTAAAATTCGATTGAATCCATGAATGTAATGAAAAGGGGAGGAAATTGTGTTCATTGACAATAAAAAGTGTTTCTCAGATGTGTGTAGTGAGTGTGTTTGGTAAAGCTGAATAAATGTGATGATGAGGGGGGGAGCAAATATAAAATAAAGATTGAGGGTCCAGTATCATAACAGTATAAGTCCAATGGCGTAAATAAGGGTATGCAAGGAATGCCGTTGCATAGGGGCCCGGAGGTTTAGGGGGCCCTTAAATGTCCTGCTGAATTACATTTACATGTTTAAAGTTAAAAGTATCTTTTTCTCTTTCGCTTTTCATTTTTATTTTTAGAATTTGTACTACTATGAATACTTATTTTAATATAATAGAATTCGTCTTCTTTTAAGTTTTTAAGGGCCATCTTCCTATATGGTGCAGTGACGCAGTTCCGTATAAGACGCAGAAAAGGGGCCCTTGGAAGCACATGAAACAGTTAAATTCAGTGTTTGCAAAAGTTAATATTCCATCATTCGGCTATCAAATAGTAACTTCGTGACCTACCTCAGTTCAGGCATAGGAGTCAAGCAGAAAATAGGAGAGGTTCCTTTGTATTTCTTAGTTTCTTACCGGAAAATTTTTAAAGGCAACACCCCCTGAAAAGGAAAGGTTTCTCCCATTGGAAGGCGGATTGATTTTTTTCTCTTTTTTAGACTAATAATCTGGAGGGGGAAATCATTCGTAAGTATCAATTGCTAACTCCAGAATGTATGCTTTCCTTTCTTAGGGACACAAAATCATTGACGTAAGTTGAGCAGTCGTGGCATGAAAGGACTTTGCCCCACCCACATGTCGAAATGGTGTCCTCGTCCAGGAAATGCAAAGAATTTATGACACCGCACATTTAGAAAAGAGAGATTTCCCGTTTCTTAGGGATCTTTGAATGAATTCAAGGTCAAAGAAAAAAAAGGGGCATGTTTTATGCGACAAAGCTAACAACTCCCTTTGCAATCCCAATTCAACGGGTTTTGTTGTGTTTCAACAAAGAACACAAAGTTTCATTCTGGTTGCTTAAACATTAAGCGGCAAATATTCCAGTTAATTTTTTTTTTCCTTAAATTTATCGAAATTCATGACTTCTTCTTCACTTATGGGGAGAGGAAATGGAATGGATGAATATTTTTACTTGAAATAATGAGTAAATCAATAGTAAATCAATATTTATCGTATTTTTCATATCAAAATTTACAAAATATTCTCACATTGCAGATAAAGTGCAGGGTTAAGAATTCTTTAAAAATTCCTAAACGAGAATTAAATCTGAAGGCATAGAACTCGTAAATTGATTTGCTTTAGGAAAGAGAAGAGCTGTGGTGTTTCTTAGTCTGTAAATTACTCATCTACCAAAAATGCACACTATTCTGTAAAAGATAATTCTGAAGATATTAATTTTGTTTTGAAAGAAATATTTTAATTTCCATTCGTTTGAAAAAATATAATAAATTACAATTCATTTTAACAACGTGAAACATTTAAGCTTAGAATTCAGTAATGCGCAATAATTTGTACGTTATTTAAACGGAACTGAATTGAATTATTATATAATAATAAAGTACTCGAGGAATATTTGAACAAGGGGAAGAACGCCTTCGTGGAGTACTTTCTAATCGTTATTTGAAATGAAAAAGTGTGTGTGTGTCTGATTGTAGCAAAGTTTCGAGGGCTATCTGCCTAAGGGAAGGAATGCCTTCGTGGAGGACTACGCCCATGCGGCCAGTCCGTTCGCTGGATTCGAACCTCGGACCGAACTACCAGTGTTCAGCGACTTTATCGCTCGGCCGCTGGTGGGCCTTCATTAATAAAGAATACAGAGAATTAGATCAAGTAATTAGGAGTTTCGGTCGCTAGTGGGCCGTTATTTGAAATAAAACTTTAAATTTACACTTTTGCTTTTAATTTATTTTAATTTTTATTCTACTTTTACTTTGCACAGAGCATTCAGTACGTGAAATCATCATTAATAATATAATAATTATAATAAAATGACATCATATAACTAAAAGTATATACTACTTCGTAAATTTCGATAAATTAATTACTGAAAATATTAAGCATATCAATGGCAGCGTTGGACCTAATAGTTTAAGTTGCATTTCAACATCTGAAAGAACACGAATTACAATACAATGTTCACTACACAGACGAATGGAAAAGAATTCTCCCACTTTTTATTGCAATATTTCAATAATTTTTGCAATTAAAAAAAATTTAGTTAAAACGTTTTTTAGTGGAAAATGATGCGATTTTCACTCATAAAATCCCTTTTCGCATTATTCTCTTTCATTTTGGCACCACTGCATAGCTTTTCTAAGACATAAATAGATTCCGTTAATATATGTTCCCATACATTATATGGATTTTTCATATTTTTGTTATTAATAAATTAATGTTTAAGATAAAAATGATACGGCTCAATTTATAAGCAATGTAAAAACTGGAAATCTGACGTAATTAATTTCCGAGCCAGAAATAGTTGTTTTAAGACGTAAATAAAAAAATATAACAATTATCAGAAATATTAATGCTCCTAAAATATATCGTGATTTTTGTTTCCTAAAATATATCTGATTTTTGCTTTTTGATCCACCTGGGGGGTAAAAAAAAAAAAAAAAAAAAAAAAAAAAATCTATTTTCATTAAATGATGTTTTTCGCATTTCTCTAAAAAGTGCGCAAAACAAAAACTTGTTTCATACAACTTTATTTTTAGTAGTAACTTATGAAGAAACTTTATACTTGTTTCCTAAACAAGTATTTATTTATACTAATTTTAGAATCTATGCGACAGAGTAGTCATCTTCAAATATACGTTAGTGTCAATAAGTTTAACTACAAATTATTAAATATTTCTGGGAAACTTGAAACTTGGAAGGTTTAATTTTAAAAATTTCCATTTCACATATTACACAGTCACCTTCAAAGCTCTTTGGATACAGGTCAATAAAATTTGTTTATTATTTCATCCTAAACTTGTGGAAGAATTTCCTAAAATTATTCGAATACCCATAATTTTTCCTGTTAAATATTTAATAATTAATATACATTAACTGAAATACATTTATAGTACAGAGGAAATACTAAAAGATATTGCAGGTCATATATTATGTGTCATTGGAATATGACAATAATAATAGTAGAATTTGACTGGAAGAAAAAAAAAAAAAAAAAAAAAAAAAAAAAAAAAAAAAAAAAAAAAAAAAAAAAAAAAAAAAAAAAAAAAAAAAAAAAAAAAACACAGATGTTTCAGCTTTTTAGAAAGGAAAGTGGACATATCTTTACAGTAAAATCTTAAATGAAAGTTTTACTGTGACTCAACTTGGAAGAGACACTGGAAATTTATGGTGGAGGCGGGGTCCCTTTCTTTGCTAAACAGCTGCGTTGAAATGTGAAATGCTATCTTCAGTATACTTTGTAATTGGCTGATGACTCAGAACAGTAAAACTGAAACTTGCTCGTATTCTAATGACATTTCTCTAGTCTACATCACTACATCGAGAGCATAAAGAAGTTTTTCTTTAAAATTAAATTTGAAAGGGATCTCAAATATAATTCTTCATTATAAAGGTAAGTTATTGATTTGTAATATTACATAAACTAAATTCTTGTAATTTCAAACTTACTAAAAACTCAATTAACTAAACTTTTAATCCATTTATCTAAAAATCCAAACTTATCACCATTAACAATGCAAATATCTTCTAATATTAATAACGTATTGTTATATTAACATGAAATATTAATATATGTTTCCATACATTTAGAAACATAATGACAGGCCAAAAATAAAAAACAAATTTTTTTTAACTTGTCCTGCGTTATAGCTGCAGGATTGAAGTAAAATAAACTTAAAGCATCTAAAGTTAAAATTAAATTGGAATCAAAGGAAGGCAATTCCTTGACGCCATAAATAACTACAACCGTGTATAAGAGGTTTAACACAATATCTAAACAAATTTAAAATGATTGAGCTGTCTATGGAGGGAGCGCTGCGATCACGAAAGCTGGAGGCAGTGTCTAAACACAGCTCCGAAATTTTTTAAATAAGTGTTTCAAAAATGTTTTCAACTCTCTAAAATAGTTAAATGCACCTTTCCTATGCAATATCTCATTCATCAAATTGAAAAAGGAAACTTCGCTTCTTCGAAACTTCAGGTGTTTTGTTAGCTGTTCACTATGAACACCAGAAATCCAAAAGAGGCCCTGACACAGAATATTCAGATAAGTAACATTCTGTTCTCTATAAAATATCTGTTTCTCTATCACTAGAGTGTCATTAAATTAAATTTCTTTATTTATTATTTTTCATAAGATTCTAGCATTATACAATAGTTGGTAATAGTAGCAGGTCATGTGGTTCTTTCTTTCGTAACTATTCCGTAGAGACGCCACATTCCTTATCAGTAGTCAGTTCCGTTCTTATCAGCAACTCACACCCTTCGGAGGCCCCCCCTTTTCGTGCTTAGGAATTTTCTTGTGAGGGAAAAAATGGGGATCTCTTGATCATCGACGAGTATAGATTGTGATTTTTGTAACAAAGATCCCCCGACTTTTTTTTTTTTTTTTTTTTTTCTTTTTTTTCAGGTCTCAAACTTAAAGTTACGAGCAAATAAAAATACAGTGACGGAATTTGTTCAACTTGTACTATAATAAATTTCAACGGTTAAATTAATAAATTAATTTTATATTTAACTAATATTTAAGA